TCTCGCTAATAATAAAAAATAGACTCAAAAATATTATTCAGGATTTCATCATTCAATTTAAATACATATATGTAGACTACGTACTTGACAAAGATAAATCATTCAATATTAACCTTTGCCGCATAAATAAACGAATTCAATAATTTATTTGACCTTTATTTTAAGCAACGAACTTAACCTCAGTACATTCAACGTCAAGGCAACAGAAACGAAATTACGCAATTAGAATCACGCGCTTTCGCTCGCTGTCTTACCAACTTATCTGTAAGATTGTATTGTTTGCATTCCTCGTGTATTGTTCGCTTCTAGTTAACGACAATTAGTGAGATACGCTTAATTGAATTTTCGACATTTCTTCATAATGCGTTTACCTAAGCTTATGCTTTTATCATTTTTAGAAACGAACTACCTGTACCCGTCCGCTTCGTTGGGCATTTAAAACTAACATTATTATTTCTCACCCCCACAAAGATTCTCATCATTAACGCCCCCGCAACTGGTGTAGGGAGTCCAACACTCGTATAAATGTTAGCCTGTCCATTTAGTATATGTATTTTCTACATTGATACCAAGTTTCAAGTCAATCGGATGCATGGTTCAGTAGTTATAACGGAACATCCGTAAAAACCACTGTAGATTTATATATTAGTATGATGGATATTTTACTAGCTCAAAGGCTACGTTTTGGAACGTCGTTTGGAACCTCTGGGTCTGCGGAGGGACTTCGGTTCCCTCTGTATTTTGTACCGTATGTTCCATGGGGAGTGCTCTGAGGAATTGTTCGAGATGATACCGGCATCTCGTTTTTACCATCGCACCGCCCGCCACCGGAGTAGAGTTCATCCATACTACCTGGAGCCACTGCGGTCATCCACAGTGTGTTTCAAGAGGTCTTTTTTGCCACGTACCATCCGGCTATGGAATAAGCTCCCCTCCGCGGTGTTTCCCGAGCGCCTATGACTTGTCCTTCTTCAAACGAGGCTTGTGGAGAGTATTAAACGGTAAGCAGCGGCTTGGCTCTGCCCCTGGCATTGATGAAGTCCATGGGCGACGGTAACCACTCACCATCAGGTGGGCCGTATGCTCGTCTGCCTACAAGGGCAATAAAAAAATAAAAATAAACCTGATGTTTTACTAACTCACCGGCCAACGCTTACCTGACTGACCTGTCACTCTTGAAAAGTGAGATCGAATTCGCAAACTTTTCCATAAATAAACGAGATCACCTTAATACAACTACTACCCCAACGGTCGGATTTCGACGAAGCTATTGCTGATACAGGCTTCTAAAGTATTAAAGTCTATTAAACAACAATTATTAAAATCCAATAATAAAAAATGACATTATTACTGAATATTTACGATACGACAAAGCTTTCTTTAATTATTATTGTTGCATATTAATTTAATTTCAATATCTTTGGTTTTTATTTAATGTATATACGAAATGCGAGTGCTGAAGATTTTTCTAATCACATAATGCATTTGTTTCGACAATTCAATCACTCGGTTCTGTTTCGGTGCGACAAAATTTTTTCTCTAATATGAGATCCAAAGGGTACAATTTGCCAAACAGGCTCCATCTGACAAGGTGAAGACGCATGAATAATTCGCGCCGTGTAATCTGCCGCGTCTGTTCTCTACTGCAATTATATTTACACACACAATACGTATTTGAATTCTAATGCTATTCCAAAAAGGTTTCGATTGCAGTTATAGATATCCAGGAAGGTTTTATATTATGCACTGACAGTAAGAAAGGATTTTTCAAAAAATAATAATATTGCATTCATATATTGGACAGGTACGAATTGACTCACGACTATAATTGAAATACAACTTTTTTTATTGTAATTGAACAAAACTCGATCGCCTCTTTGGCGATTCCGATTTAATATATTACAATTATTAGAAATTTGAGACGTAATTATATTTTGATAAAAGAGAACAGAACTGATTATCATGATATGTTCACGATCTAATTCTGCCGAATACATCTGCTTCAATGTGACGACCATTTTGTTCTACACGGGTTATTTCGGGGACTTTGCTGCTAATATTTACATATAAAACTTCCTAGTTTTATTAAAATGTATTATTCCATAATATGATGGAAACAAAACCACGGCAAATAAGATAAAATGCGATTTACGGTGTCATAAAGCTACATTTTCAACTAATTCATCTCTTTATTTGTGCAGTACTCAACTTTACGCATTTTCTGATTAACTTTATTACTATTCTCTCGTCAAACGGGGAAGCTGTTGGTAAACACACAATTATTGGCGTGATTATTTTCGTAACAAACGTTAGTGTTGCGTTATTTTATGAAGCTGTTATCAAAGCTTTACTTAATTCCTTTTATTTTCATTTAAAATATTTTCGTGTGATATCTCACGGCCATTTGTGCGTGTTATTTTGGAAACTCTGAGTCTAGAATTCAATGTTAATTGGTTTTACCAAGTTAAGAATTGTTCGCTAGCTAATTTTGCCATTATTCATATTATTTGAATTAAAAACATTTAGTCTGAAAGTTAATTTGTTCACGTTTCGCTAATATACATATAAGTTATAGTTTTTTTTCACTACCCATTCGCTGTTAGCCTAAGAGCCTATTCCAGCTACGCATAGACAGGTATGCGACCTCACGCACTCAACCTGAGTAAGTTTGTCAACACTATCCCTAGCAAGAGCAGCGGTTCGTAGAATCAACCACCGGCTCGGAATCGCGATCCACTGAGAAAATTGGCGAGAAACTCAGTGGGTTGTCCCTATGGGCTAGTTTGCTCGTCGGCGAGTTCGACGAGGAAGTTGACCGATGCTTGAAGAGCCTAAAAGCGGGAGAACGGATCCGGTAGATCCGACAAGATATGTTTCAGACGAAAGTGATAGTATATGACAGTAGACCGATGCCCTGGTTCTTTGTTACAGACAAACAAAGCTGCCAGGTCTGCAATATCAAGCTACGACAACTACGAGACTGACGCAGAGCACGCACCATGTTTTTATATTTTTTTATTGCTTAGATGGCTGAACGAGTACACAGCCCATCTGGTGTTCAGTGGTGAAGCCCATAGACATCTACAACGTAAATGCGCCACCCACCTTGAGATATAAGTTCTAATGTCTCAGTATAGTTAGTACGGCTCCTATCAGTATAGTCTTGCCGGCGAGAGAACGAATAAATTTTATATATATTATTTAAATGTTACGTCAACTTAATGGAATATATATAAGCAATAGCTTATATAGCAGGTATACCTTTATAGAGAGGTCAAAAGTCCGTCCTGACGGTTCAGGAACTTAGAATCATTAGCGTAACTGCGCTTAGTGACTTTAGTGTTCGTTGCGTTGTGGTAAATGAGCGTGGACTGGATTTATTGTTATGAGATATTTATTTGTCGTTATATGACAAATTAAAGACTCGCCAAGAGCGACGCATCGATATTATATTTCTTTTATATGAAGCCTTTAATATATCATATATGGACAAAATCTCAAAACAATAAATACAGTCCACGCTCTTTTACTACAGTGCAGCAGTGGTTTAAATAAAACTAGCAATAGTCCCGTGATTGTGCACGTAACTCAGCAATATCACTATATCGTCAGCAATGAAAATTATAATCTCGAACAAACAACTTCAATTGTCAGAATACCTTACTACTAGGAGCAAAAGTTAAAAATAGAAAACCATCCAGGATCTTTTTTTTTTATAGCTTAGATTTGTGGACGAGCTCACAGCCCACCTGGTGTTAAGTGGTTACTGCAGCCCATAGACATCTACAACGTAAATGAGCCACACACCTTGAGATGTAAGTTCTAAGGCCTCAGTATAGTCACAACGGCTGCCCCACCCTTCAAGCCGAAACGCATTACTGCTTCACGGCAGAAATAAGCAGGGCGGTGGTACCTACCCGCGCGGACTCACAAGAGGTCTCACCACCAGTAATTACGCAAATTATAATTTTTCGGGTTTGATTTTTATTACACGATGTTATTCCTTCACCGTGGAACTAACTATCTAAACTTAGCCACATCACTGTATTTTAATATATAGATTATTTTATTGTTGGAGTCTCAATCTGAATAGCTCGTTTTTACTTTTTTCTACCTTTTAGTTAGTAGCCTAAGGGGTTCCAGCGAATAATACATAGTACTTGGTAACTGATTACGCGGAAGGGTAACAAAGCTAACGACCTATTTATTACATATGTGAAATAGTTACTGGAGTCTATGGAGAAGATTGCGGGAATGAAATGAAACGCCTGGGCTACCCTTGAAATAATTCATACAATAAAACTGCAGTGTTTGTTACTCTGTTTGTTTTTTTGATTGGATTTGATTGCCCAATGTATTGTATGTATATACTTGAAAATGATGAAACATTACAACAAAAAACACACTGCATTACGCCCCCCCGTGAATGTTTATCGTGACGTTCTGAGTGTGAAATTTTCCAAGTAAATTCAAACAACGACGCTGCATTAGTAGCGTCAGCAAACGTATTCAATATTATTCAATTAATTAAATGAAACAAATATAAAATTTCTTTATATTGCATTACTTTATGTTATTATAATTTAGCAGCTTAATAAGCTCAATAATTTATTTCATTTTATCATTAAAATAATTGTCCAGGGTTAAAAAATATAATGAAATTTCATTCCGATCTATACAGGTAATTACGTTCTATATATTCACATCCGATTTTCCCACTTTTTTCTACATTAAAATATGGATTAAAACTTAAATGTAATGATTCTGTCATTTATAAGTCTGTTTAAATTTTTATATTAACTGCACTTGCAAACCCTACTCTAACGTTATCTGTTTTGATGACTATTTATTGTTTGTTTTCTAGGGGAAAACCTTATTGTTTCTGTTATTTTCAAAGGTGCCACGATTTTACAACATAATCCTTTGAACAAACTGTAATACATATAAAATGCAAGGGAAGAGCAAAGTAAGATCATAACTCGAGTTAATTTCGAACGAAACTTGCATTTTACCAATAAAAATGGTCTCGAAAGTGATTATTGCTTTATGCATCACGGTAAGTGCATCGGATTATTTTGAACTCTATAGCTTACAATAATAACATAAGAGTCAATCCCCATTAAATATTATTGTTTGAATAAGATAATCCAGTTCAACTTTAATGAGATGATTGACAAATTATACAATCTTATAGCTGTTAACTGTCTTGCTTCGAAATATTATTATGAGAATTAGTATACAATACAAATTTTTTTTGCTAGTGGTAAAATATTTTCTTCGTCTAATCCACAGCTAGCAGTAGCTTCGGCTGTCCCTCAACCTGCCACCGGTGGTGCCGGCGGTTGGGGAGGCTGGAACAATGGCGCAGTCAACCCTTGGATACCTCCATGGATCGCATCGGCTCCCTGGTACCCGCAGTGGGCTCCTTGCACCACCATCGGTAGTACTTGCCTAGATTGCACTACCAAGCAAGTTTGTACAAAAGTAGGAGGTATACAGAGGGCGTGTCTGGACCCGACTCTTCCTTACTGCAACCTCGGAGAATGCTCCGCTACCCCCGCTGAAGGATGTGAACCGGCCTCTGGTGCATCTGTAGCACCGACCGCTTAATATTCGATACTCAAATATAATTTGTATTTTTCACCTCGAAAATATATAACAGATAGAAAAAAATTTTTTTTTTGGAAAAAACTAACAAAAAATGTAATCAAAAGTGTTTCTTTACCATTATGTAGTCTTATTTAATAAATATGAATATATCAAAATTATATTCCTAGCTGTTTTAATTTTCATTAGTTCGTCACAATCTTGCCTAGCAATAAAAATTGAAATGTTGAATCCTGTTTGTCTATAGAACAAATATTAGATTTTATCAGCAAGCCTGAATACTAACAGTAGCTAGGAATTATGGAAAAGCCTAATTTAATATTATTTGGCTCATCAAATATTCAAAATCTTAACTAACCAAACTTTGATAAAACTTGAACGATAACACGACGTTCATTTCATCTTATCATTCAGATATCTGCGTGTTCTAAAGCAGTAAACAATTACTGTACTATTAGAACTGACTTTTGAGAAATTTTTCAACAATGCAATTATATAACTAAACTGACTAAACCATCATCCAACCATAAAAAAATCAACATAACTATAATTGTAAATTTTCACATTGAATTAGTTATTATAATTCCAATAAATAATTGTTTTAAATTAATTTAGAACACGTAATATAATTTTGTTAAACTAAATCACATTATCTCAAATCTCAAAAAATATTGGTTGTAAAATGAAATTATATCGTTTTTTTTTATAAGTAACAGCTTGAAGCTAAACCCATTTCACTTTAATTTAATGTTATCGGATTCTTAACTAAAATCCTTCCACCTTATTCAAATTGTAAGACTCAATGAAAACGTAAGCTCCAAAATAAATTTTTGATGAAATTATCTCTGTTAAACTAAATTGTTTTTCGAATAACGTCTGCTAAAAATAATAGGTTTTTTACTAGAGTATTTATTATATAATATCAGTATAGTATAGTATCGCATAGATAAAACATCTCGTAATAGTTTAGAATCTGTAGTGGTTCAATGAGTAATAATAGTGAAATAAAGCTATTTCGTCCGCGAATCATGCATTTCAATGTGAACGTCAATATACACACGTTTGGAGTGAATCACTTCATCGCCCTAATAATTGCGAATTCATCTTTTAAACTAAATTGAAAATGCAGAACTTGTCGTCATAGGACTGTCACAGTCTTGACTATTAACTGCTAGAATACAAGAATAGAGAAAAATAGAGACAAGAATAGAGAAGAATAGTAGACTTCAAGAAATACAAATAAATTAAACACGATTAATTATCGAAAAACTTCTTTATTATGTGATAGCTTCTACATTTGCCAATTTTCAAGGCAAATGCGAAGCTATTAATCAAAAATAAGGCGAAACTAATTTACTGCCACCTTTTTAATTTCAGTGATAAGAGCCAATCGACGTCTCTGATATTTAGTTTCATTTTCTAGTAAATAAATAACAATAATAATACTCTGGCCTAATGTTTCAGAGTTAAATAATACCCCGGTATTCTAGTTATTTTCCTACACATCATCATCAACTGATCTATAAGACGCTACGAGCGTTTTGCCCGAAATCCTTACGAGCCTAAACCCTTAAAAACTGGTTACCACAGCCCATGGGCAAAAATGATATCAGAGGCAAAAACGTTACCTCTTGTAGAGTACATACTCGATTCTAGAATATCTGACCCAGAACTCACGAACTATTGAAAAGTGAAGTTTGTTCCAGAACTCCAATGTTTTTTTTTTTTTTTTTGGTGCACAAAACAAATTACATTCATTACAGTACATATTAGCTAAATCAGACAAGTAGTACCTAGATCTAATCTGGATTGCAATCTAAATAGCATGTGCACTCAGCAAATCCATTTGAATGTACATAGCTTTGGCTATTGAAAACAATTGAAATTACAAATATTGATAACTAGCCATTGTTAAATAGGATATCCTTCACACATCTGACAAATCCCCTGAGTCTAAGTTCAAAGATATCAAGATCACCGTGACATTTAGCCAAATCATTATACTGCCTGTATGATATATTATTTTTATATGTCCGTAACGCAAAGAAACATAGCTCTTAAAAGACATTCTACACTACCTACTACAAGAATACTTTCAGGTAGGATCATTTAGATTTACTCCAGAGGATCATTTAGAGTTACGAAACACAGATGACGCTACAAAAATGAATTTATTCACTCGAAAGTACAATGAAATCCCTCGGGAAACCGATAAAGCCATGCTATTGTCTCTCTCAACACGGGCACGAATAGAAAAATTCTCGTATACAAACAATAAAACACACGTTATCGACTATCCTATACAGGAAAATGCTCTTCGAGTAACTTTATTTTCCACTAGAAATTGCGCATTGCTTTCCTTGTGTAAGATTTCAAACTAAACTTCAATAACTTTTCTGTATGGTATCGCTCGCAAAAATAAAAACGGAAAGATGTGATGATTCTTGTCGTGAAAATTCAAAAAGAATAAGAATATTTCTTTTTTTTTGCGGCTTATGATTTTTGTACTACACTTAAAGTATTTCGCCACCTCATGACCAACAACGGCTCATCAAACCTTTTACCTTGTTGATATTTGCCTACCTATTATAGCCTTTAGAGGCTATCCTAGCTTCACCGGACATATAGGCGAGCTCGTGGGGCTCAGCTTGCCGACCTTGCTAATGCTAGCTTTAGCAAGGACTTCATCGAATCTACCTCCGGATCGGAATCGCGACCCAGTGAGAAAGCGTGATCCAGCGAGAAAGTGTGAACTGTGTCTGTGGGTTAATTTTGACAACGAACTCTTCGTCGTATTCAACGGGTTCGACGAGAACGGTGACCGTTGCTTGGAATGCCTAAGAGCACCGATAGTGGATGGTTATGATCCGAAGTGACATGCGTTTTGTGCGACGGCGACTTTTTAACGTTTGGTCAGCAGATTCGGGTATGTAGTTACCGACGGCCACGATAAGAGGATTTATTATATCGCACTTTATCTTGATATCTGATTGAAGGAAGCTTAATCCGTTTTATTGAGAATTATACAGTTTAAAGCAGGGATTCCCAAACTTATTTAGTCTACTGCCCACTTTGAGAATAAATTATTTTTTAGCACCCCCATTTTTTCACCTACTTAAAAACCACTATAGCGAGAGCTCAGTCGGTGTCTAAGAGTCCTCATAGATGAAATTATAAATCGCCTCCCAAGCTTCTACACAACACCCCCTTTTTTGTTTTCTGGGTCTCTTACTGCCTCTCTTTAGGCCTGCAGAGCCCACAAAGTGGCATTATCGCCCACTTTGGGAAAGGCTGGTTTAAAGTATACGAATCTATTTTTGAATCGTTATTATTTATTATATCTTTGCTTGTGGTTATCCTATTGGATTTATCAGATTTTTATGATATGATTACTATTAGGCAACTTTATCAAAACTATGGCCTTCTCATTTAACATCCCAAACTATTACCCATATGATGTTAGTATAAAATGATTTAGCTTCTTTGCTAAAGTATTTAGCTTTTATGCTACAAATTGAAAATCTCTCGAATAGTTTCATCAAAGTGAAAATTCTGTTGGCTTAGATCAACAGACTGTAACGGTAACAGCACTTTAGACATATCAATATCATATTTTGTAGAAAACAACACACAGACACACATTAGATTTAAAATTTTTAGAATTGATGTGATCATTAAATTATTGTTTATTTAGATAATACCACAAACCCGACTGAGTGCTTTTGCAATGATAAGATGATTAAACCACTTAAAGTTTGTATATAAAGGGAATAATTCAGTTCCAAAAACATCAATAAGTATCATCAAACATGATTACGAAGACTTTTGTTGCGGTTCTGGCATTTGTAAGTTTTAAACAGTAATTTTCCGATAGTTTAATTATTATTTGTGCATTTTATTTAAGATAATCGATAGTAATACTCCATAATATTCAGTTTCAATTTTGCTTATGATTTTTTACTAAAAATACATTTAAACTTACTCCTTCTCATGGAAAAGACGCCATACGTGCGAGTGAAATGACTGTGCCGTCGTTCAAATCTAGGGAGTATAATTACCAATAAAATTATTAATACAAAAAATATTAGAATTTTAATTTTTTATTGCTTAGATGGGTGGGCGAGCTCACAGCCCACCTGGTGTTAAGTGGTTACTGGAGCCCATAGACATCTACGACGTAAATGCGCCACGCACCTTGAGATATAAGTTCTAAGGTCTCAAGAATAGTCACAACGGCTGCCCCACCCTTCAAACCGAAACGCATTACTGCTTGACGGCAGAAATAGGCAGGGTAGTGGTACCTACCCGCGCGGACTCACAAGAGGTCCTACCACCAGTAATTACGCAAATTATAATTTTGCGGGTTTTTTGTTTTTGTTACACAATGTTATTCCTTCACCGTGGAAATCAATCGTGAACATTTGTTGAGTACGTATTTCATTAGAAAAATTGGTACCCGCCTGAGATTCGAACACCGGTGCATCGCTCAACACGAATAATGCACCGGACGTCTTATCCTTTAGGCCACGACGAATTATTACTTACGAATTTTGAAGTGCACTAACTAAAATAATTAGGCTGGATACATACATAATAATATTATATGTATACGAATTAATATTAATATTTTATTTCTGTAACGAAACGGAAATGTATTCCGGTTTGAAGAGCAAGACAGTCGATCTTACAATACAATTAAGGGCATTGACCTCAAACACCAAAATCGGTACTGGCATTCAGTTTGTATTATTAATAAATATCACCATGATGACTATGAGTTTCGACTGTGGATGAGCTAAAAACTAACAAATATTTAGTAAGTTGGTATCTACAGTACGATTCGGGATAATTTCTTAGATAAATCTATATATTAATACGTGAAGCAAAAACTTTGTATCCCTTTTTACGAAAATTGCGCGGACGGAGGAGTATGATATTTTCCATACTTATAGAGAATATAGAGAAGAAGTGCACAATGCTATTTTTTTTTTTAAATAATGCATAAAAGATACATTAATTCAATAAAGAAAACGTTACACACACTACATACCATGTATTTGACGCACACACGCATGCATACTATTTATTGTCAAACTTTTGTTCTTGACGTCTGTTGTCAAATTGAGAATAGATTAAATATTGTTTGTTAATATTTTTTATAGTGTAGCCTTGGCGAAATTTGTGATTATAGAAGTATAAAATACAATCATAATAGTGTACAAACTTGCAATTCCAATTGATTATAGTCGAATTTCGACTACTGCGGACCTCTAGTTCTAATAAAAACGTTTTAATATTTCAGTGCGTTGCTGTGGGCGCCTTGTCTTTAGCGGAAGAATATCCAGAAACAAACGATAAAATCTTTCCTAAGCCAATCGAATATGTAAATGATGAAGACGATACGTATAATGTCGTCAGCTGGACGTCTTGTAATCTAACCGAAACGCCGATTTTTTCATGCCACGACTGCAACACCCGAATGTTCTGCAATCCGATCGGCGGCCTTCTTATATCCTGCAGAGATAATCGTCGTCCTCACTGCAACCGCGGCCTATGCAGATCCACACCCAGTGATGAATGCGCTCAATAAATGCAAAAATTTAAGCAGCTGTGTATGTTTGAAGGGCACAGGGCACCTATTTTAAAATGGCTTTATCAGCATTTTTAATATATCTATCATTAACAGACCGTTATGACTGTCATACTTGAATCATTGTACCGTGGTTCACTTGCGGACTAAATAATCATAATAATGGTTGGTTCGAAGTAAGTATCAGTTGAATGGAATATTTGAAATGTATTCAACTGATAATTATTTTTAATAAATGTATCTTTTTTATTTGATTGGTTTTATTAATTTTAAAGTATGTTTCAATGATACTATGTACACATATGGACTTGTTGTTGTCTGAAATAAAATAAATCATTCATTCATTCATTCAATTCAAGGTCCTATTAACTTGTCATCAATGCAAACGTAACAAGGACCACACAATAATATTGTTACTTTGTTGTAATTACCTCAACGAAATTATTGGAATAAATTTAACAGATTTAAATTACAGTTTTTTTTTTTAAAACTGTGAAAACTTCGGATCCATGTTTCAAGGCGAATAGCGGCATTCATACGCCAATGTCTATTGATTGTAACCACTCAATCCAAAGTAGGACATGTACTCGTCTGTCATCTAAAGTAATAAACATATAATGTTTTCACAAGAAATACTTGATTCGATAATTTTGTATTATATTATAAGATATATATTTTTTTTTGTATTACAAACACATACAGCTTTCACAAAACAAATTCAAACCTTAAACAGATCATGCCAAAAAGACAATCTTTAGAACCAAATCATAATCACTATTTCGATGCCTCCAATGAACACTACTCTAACTCAAAATTTTGAAATTTTCGTTTTTCACGCAAATCGCTTCACTATATTAAAAGTATTATAATTAATAATTATTGATGGGGTTCGGAGCAAGAGTAAATCAGCTAGTTACACAAAAAACCCATAAATAAATCTGCAATAATAAAGATTTTATCAATTTTTTTCGTTTAAACGCTCCTCCTGCAAATCTACGAATTTGGAGTTAGCGTAGTGTTCATTGGAGGCATCGATTTTACCATTATCACTTCAATCGCTAAACGAAACACAGGACGCAAGAAAAGAAAAATAAGTGCATATCAAATTATATATAGTTACTACCAAGAATAGCAGGTATACCAGATTATTTTAATCAATACACAAAATTACCGATTACGGATCGAAGCCAAGTCCATACATTCTTACTAAAACCTAAATTTAGTTTTAACAATAACTTCACGTCATTAATTCAAAAAAATACAATATTACGAATTTAAACGAATTAAACGAATTTACTTTTATTTAGTCATACTACTTATTTATTACTTATTTTATTTTCCCGTTCATGTTTATTGTACAAAAAAAAACTTGCTTAGTTGAAACTAAATAACGAAGCCTTCCTGAAGGAACTTTAGCAAAAGCAAATTGAATTAAAGGCGAAGTGGTTTTGCGAAATACTCAGCTATTCTTGGCTATTTTTTTGTCTAAAATATACATTTCAATAGTAATTACTTTAGAGAGTTTTTATTTCGAGGAGCATAGCTTTCTTAGCAAGATCGAATCGTGACCGCTAAAAGAAAATTCAAACAAAATTCGAAGTCTTTTAGTATTTAAAGATATTTCTTTAGCATCTAAGTAAACATTTAAACGGTAAGAACCTTCGTAAAAATACATTCAAGCATCAAAGATGTGGTCTACACGTGTCACAACTTATCTTACTATCCTATTTAGTACCTACAAGCGGCCCGCTCCGGCTTCGCTCGGGTCTTTAATAAAAATTTCAACTATATTTAACGTTGTTTTATTTTTTTAAATAAAAGAACACTTATTGCGGCATAACTATAATAGTTATTTATATGCAGTCGCGACACTTTTTGTAAATGATAATGTCTTCTGAAAAGTCATAGTACATTATTTTATTCTATCATCAATAGTTTTCGCAGAGAATATTTTAGGTAATTTTTTTACACCTTGCGTTTTATTATTGGAGTTTTAGTAAGGATCCCATTTTTTTTTTTTTTTCAAAAAAGATTATAGCCTATGCCACTCTGGAATAGTGTAGCTTCCAAACAGTGAAAGAATTCTTCAGCCCGGTTCAGAAGATTCGGAGCCTATTCAAAAAAAACAAATACACAAACAAATCTTTCCTCTTTATAATATTAGTATAGATTATTCATTCGACTAGGCACTCAGGCATTGTATAAGAGGGGTGACAATCTCCCAGAACGAAACCCACGCGTCTGCATTTATATTATTATCTAAGTCGCTACAGGATGTCTCGGCTACGTTATTATTAGACGAAGACTTAGGTTTGCAAATAGCGTTGATTGCACAATTAGGTATATTTATTTTGAAATAGCAGAATCGGCACGAATCACGTTTTCATTATCTCGAGCGTGTGTGACGCATTCATAGGAAAGTCACTGTTATCCCGCGTGAAAATTTTCTATCTTCTTCTATATCGTTTCTTCACTACTGAACATCGAGACGACATATGACGTTCTTCTACTGTGTTCGATCATGGGTGGCATGGACCGCATTGTACAGACTACCACCAAGTGCTTCTCTTGCCAGATCTGACCATCCAGCTGGTGTTCTGCCCACGGCGCGCTTGCCCTCTATGCGACCCGCAATTATGAGCTTCTCTAATTCATGTCTCGGAGACCGCATGATGTGTCCGAAGAAGCTCATAACATGTTCCCGGCAGATGGAAGAGAGCCTTTTTCGGGTATTTAGCTCCCTTAGAATAGACTCGTTAGTTCTAATGGCAGTCCACGGTATTCGTAGCATCCTCCACCACACCCACATTTCAAAGGCATCGATCTTTTTGATCTTCTTTGATCGCGGCTTTTCATGCGTTTTTTTTCATTTTCAGCTTTTCCTAGCTGTCTATTAATTACACTAGTAATTTATAAGTTTATTTTTTAATCAAAACGAAAGACTACTTCCTAGTTTCGTGGAACCTCGTATGTTACGCGCGAAATCGCTATGTCATTTTGTATGATCATTTTCACCATACCTATACTGCGATTTTTACTGTCCTTACTTGTGTGGTTTTTATTATGGTTTACTTGTGTGGTTTTTATTGCTACGATGGATAGACGTACTAAACTTAATCCCTAATTAAAGAAACTTAATCCCGCACCTACCTTAATGCATGAGTTTTCAATCTCATTTTTATGGTGATACAAAGGCTGTTCCATCCTACAAAACGAAACGCATTACTATTATACTTCACGGCCGAAGTAGGCACGGTGGCACTAGGTTTCATGCAAATGCAAATTTTGTTTTACTCTTAGACTACAATTTTATTCCTGATACTTCAAGTGATGCTTTAAGGTATCGAGCGATGTTATTCTATTTAACCAAAAACAACGTGCAGTACGATCCTGTATTTGAAGTAATGTACTTGATGATTATTTTTCTATTCGTTTCTAGAAAAAAAGCAAGTTAGTGACGTCCCTAAGCAACAGTATTATTCATAAACACGTCGATTTCTGCTTCACCATAATATATAAACATGTCGATACACATCAGTCCATTCGATTCGATCGTCGATTCTCAATCATACGACTGAATACTTTACAAAATGTATTCTCACTTTAGTTTGATAATGGTTGTTTTCATTTATGTAAGTACATTTTAAATATTTTATAACACTTTCGATTTATTAGCATTCTCTGTTTAGTAATTTGTGTATTATGAAAAATAAATTTCAATAAATTTATAAATGATTTTACAACGAAAAAAACTATGCTAAAAACACATTTCAAGTGACGGTTATAATAATTACGAAAGTTTAATGATTTTCCTAAAATGACTGCCTGATACAGTTGAAGCTGAAATAGAAACTGTATCTAAATTAAGCATAACTCAACGGCAAATGATCGACCGAAACAGAAAATAGAAGATTACTATATACATTATCTATTTGCTATTAGCTATTTGCTACTACTCTACTACTTAATTTTAAAACAAAAAAAATGTACTCATTATATACTTAATTTATTAGTTGCTACTACTCTAAGTATTTTTAGTGCAGACCTAATGAACGTTGTTCTAATGTTGTGAACGACGAAAATATTTATACAGAAACTTAGCGTATCCACAAATTTTGTTGTAATTGTAAGCTTAAACTATGTTTGTACTTTGTTTAAATTAATAAATGTTTTTCAAGGTCATGAAAACATCAGTCGCTGTGCCACATACAAATACAACCGAAAACAACCTAACTGAATTAATGGAAGTGTTCAGAAACAGTATACCATTTTTCTCGCAAATTCCTTTCAACGTTTCAAGTTTTGGATTATCCGATGAATATAATCTTAAAACACCGCATTTTCCATTTCCCATCCGTCGTAAAAGATCTCCAATATTTTTGACACGGCCATTAACAGATGGGCTTGGGGTATCTAAAATATTTTCAACCCCCCTAAAACGTCACATCATGCTATGTGACTTTATTAAAAAAGTAAGTAACTACCACAACAATTACACAAAGTGTCAAAAAAGTTCCCGAAGCCAAAAGGAGCACAAAATTATTGTCCATACTTAATCCGAAAGCAATGTTAACATGTTAACTTTCTACCATAAAAGCAGCGGCTTGGCTCTGTCCATGGCATTGCTGATGTCCCTGAGCGATGGTCACCACTAACCATCAAGTGGGCCTACAAGGGCATCAAAAAAGAAATGCTTTTTTATTTGGGTTGGAGGGATTGCTGGTAACCCAGAGGTCATTTCGTGTGTGAATGCGTGCGTTTTTTCTAACTTTATATTTCATTATCTATAATTGACTTTGATTTTTTACTTTTTGGTATGTAAAATTAATATGTCCAGATTGATTGATAGTACAATTCTATGATATGGTACTATTAGGACCAATATAAATAATCAATACTTTAAATGTTAAGCATTAGAGCAATGAGCCATTAATAACTAAACGAACGAAAGCGCGCTCGTCATTGGCCTTCTCTAGATAGTAACTATGAAATTACTGTTAATAAACTAACGCCCTTTTAACACAGAAAAATACGATACTTTTTTAATAAGCTGGCACTAGAATTTCACACAATAATGTACCCTTTTAGCTCCAGACCACAAAATTATAGAAGAGTACAGTCATTACTTAAACAGCGATTTGGACCTTATGTTTCCTTCATAAGCTATATATTTCTTAAAATAACGCCACGGCAAAACGTCACGTCAAAGGTTTATCAATATACTGAAATTATTTTCAGCCCGGTGGAACATGTGCTAGCTGTCACGAAGCCATCATCTGTCTACCCGGAAACGTTGGCATCATTAAACACTGCAGCTCGGCCCTCCCATACTGCTTTAAAGGACGCTGCTCTATAACGCCCAACGATGAATGCAAAAACACGACTTCTTCAACTAACACGGATTCAACTCTTTCTCCTGCAAAAACTACTTCTGCGTCAAACACCGTTGAAAATAAAACTGTTTCAGTGTCTCCTAACACAACTAATTCTCCTACCACAACTCCAACGACTTCGTAACTACTCTTTATTTGATCCATAGATTCGTTAGTGATCTAATAAATATTAGGTTCATTTTTCATCGAAACACGAATAAAGTTATTTTTGAATGTAATAATATTGATATTTATGTTTCATACATATAATGTTGCGATACTAAAATTATAATTGTATATAAAATTTTGTATGCCTGTTTTTATTTACGAAAATCACGATCTCTGATGGCAACTGAAATTTATAGAGTGACGCGTGCTACTTCCTTTTTCTCTGTTCATACAGGGATATGTTGATACATACAAATACCATTAAGGTTGCATCACTACGAGAGACCGAATGAGGACTAATGTGGGAATGTGCAATATAGTCTACAGATAGGGTGGGCCTTTACTAACTAATATCCCTATAAGCAGATTGCATTATTAAAGGGTACCGGGAACAATTTAAACAGACTGCCAATCCTCTTAGTATCAATTCACTCTGATTAGGTCAGTATGCTCCTACACAAAAAATTAACTGCAACCTCTTTTTAATATAGCATGAAAACGTGTCTGCTCTTCATCCAGAACTGACCGTAAGGACTTGTTAGGTCTTGTTAGGTTCGGTTGGTCTGCCTATATGGAGGGAGAAAGAGGAATGAGGTAGGGGGAATCCTCCAAACCAAATCGTGAGATTTGTTTCTAAAATAAGACGACACTACCAATCCGTATGGATACATCACGCTCTACCGGTGGCAACTGATTTGTGACTTGAATATAGTTATTCTGCATTCATGAAATGGTCTTCGCCTACAGGATTTTCAGAGTGCTAATGTCATTTTTCAAAAGAGGGATAACGCGAGCATGTCATAGTAAACAGGCATTGGCTTTGGCATTGATACCCTTTATGGATTGCAGTGACCACATTCCATAATATACCTATTGCTAATCGTTTGCTTGACTAAATAATAAAACTAAAACATCGTCACAATGCTCTTGCCTCTTATGAAATTACGTCGCCCTAAAGACGTCATTACGGATCCTCCCGATCGATTAACAAGATTTTGGTATCACAAGCACCGGTCACCGTCCTCGCCGAATCCGTCGCTTGCAACGAAGGGCTCGACGAGCGAATTAACCGATACACACAGCCCACTGAGTTTCTCGCCGGATCTTCTCAGAGGGTCGCGTTTCCGATCCGGTGGTAGATTCTGCGAAGCACTGCTCTTGCTAGTGTCAGTGTTAGCAACACTCCGGTTTGAGCCCCGTGAGCTCACTTACACACGTTAGGGTGAAGCTGAAATAGCCTCTCAAGGTTATCAGCATAGGTAGGTGAAAAAAAAGACCAAATTAATAACTGAAATGTACCCAACATTTTAATAGCCTTGTAAACAATAACAATTACTGAAGCCAATAAATTAATTTAAATTGAAAAATTACTTGTGATGTGTCACACAGCTTTACAGTAAATTACCATAACGTAAATTGGCTAATAAAAACTATGTATTGTGCATTTAAGTGTAAAATTAATTTGTTTCGTGCCTTTGAATATCGATCTGTTGATAAAATATACCAGCTAAAAGGCCTCGTGGCATAACGTTTTTCAACAAAACACATCGGTGTAGGATTGAAAAATTCCAAGTTTTTAGAAGTTTTGCGACACAAGGCTTACCAGATTAAAGTACAACAAACACAACATACAAACCTTTCTAACAAAATACGAACTTAACATATGCTCACTAATGACTATCACGATGGCGGAATAACAAATGTAATTAATATTAAATCATCGTAAAAATTGCAATGTTTATAATTACGATGGAAGGATATGCAATACTGCCCTCCCTATTTCTGGCGCAAAGCAATCCGGTTTTATAGGTGGGACAGCCGCTACACTATACCAAACAATTGCGTATTATACTTTATGTCTCACTTTGTGATGTCTATGGGCTCCAGGAAGAACAAATGGACCGTGACTTCGTTCATTAAGTTCATGGAGTGGAGGAGACATATACTTTTTTTTTGTGGTAAGAGGGAAGTGTTACTAGTTGCCCATAGGCCTTTCCAGTTTCACCAGGACAGATGGGGGAGCAAAGGCACAACTAAGAGGGGTGGGAACAGCTACCCTAGGCCTCCAAAAGAGATCTAACAGCTTAAGAACAGCTGCTTCGCGAATGCATCTACTACCAGATCGGAATCGTGACTCGCTGAGCACACCCGGCGAGAAACTCAGAAGTCGTCGTGACCTAAAGGATAAGACGCCCGGTGCATTCGTATCGAGCTATGCAACGGTGCTCGAATCCATAAGGCGGGTACCAATTTTTTCTAATGAAATACGTACTTAACAAATGTTCACGGTTGACTTCCACGCTGAAGGAATAATATCGTGTAATAAAAGTCGAACCTGCAAAATTATAATTTGCGTAATTACTGGTGGTAGAACCTCTTGTGAGTCCGCTCGGGTAGGTACCACCACCCCGTCTATTTCTGCAGTGAAGCAGTAATGCGTTTCGGTTTGAAGGGTGGGGCAGCCGTTGTAACTATTGAGACCTTAGAACTTATATTATTATTATACTTACAATATCAGAACTTATATCTCAAGGTGGGTGGCACATTTACGTTGTAAATGACTATGGGCTCCAGTAACCACTTAACACCAGGTGGGCTGTAAGCTCGTCCACCCATCTAAGCACAAAAAAAAGACTCAATGGACTGATGTATGGATTAGGTTGCACGTCGAACTCTTTACCGAGTTCGACGAGTACAGCTACCAGAGTCTCTAAGCCTGCTCCTAGTGTTAGAGCTGAAGGCCTCTAATGCTAGTTAATTATTGGATCTGATGGATCCGCAAGGAGTACCAATAGTAGTTGAGTAAATGAAAAGGCTGAATGGCTTCTTTATTTTTATTTACTATGACAATAACACTGGGTATATAGCGAAAACACCTGTTAGGTTTATCCAATTATTCAAACATCAAAGTTAATCAAGTCAATATCAACACTACTCTCGAATAAGTATATATATGAGTATAATAATATAAGAAGTATAATCATTTTAAAATTTTATTATCAACTTGTCTGCAATGTTTGCCTATTGTCTCATTTAATACATTCTTTTCAAGATTATGTCTCCTTATTTGGAAGAGATTCATAATCGTTTAAGTTTTGAATAAATACATGATTATTTTTGTTAAGAATTTCTTATTAGTAATATTCTTTTATTTGTCAAACACAGCGTAACTACAGTAAAATTTCTACTACATAAATATATTATTGTTACACGAAGTATTGTCGCATTAATTTAGTCTTTAATATAGATAAAAGGTACTGCAATGTCTGCAGCTATGTAGTAACTACACAATTTTCGCATTTCCAATATTTGCGATTGACACCTTAGGTTTAAATATTAATTATATACGTTTCGACACTTTCAAGGATATGCTGTCAAATCGTTTTATTGTAAACGATAAGGTTCTGCCTAAAGCCCAATTAAACCTAGTAATCACAACATTCAACATCAAACAGGTATATAAATAAGATACGATAATTTATTGTCTACGTTAATTTTAATGTCAACCCACCAACCCTATCCGTATAATCAATTGTCCGGGTCATGAATACGGTCGTTTAATTTATTTTTTTCTTGGATAAAATTTTCAAAATACGTAAATACGTGTCCTCACTATAGACCTTAGTCTGCCCGATGTCGCTAGTTCAGCCAGATCGCGTTGATGTGGCATCATCTAGCGAACATCGACATAGCTACTGATTCTTACGGCGACTCGGTAAACTGCTGTTACGGTAAGTTTTCCTCAGAAGAATATTATCCACAGCAGGAAGTAACAAGTATCTTTTTCCCGATGAGTGCAACGGTATCTTCAACGATCGGAAGTAGTAAAATTTCGGAGATTCCTTAGTAATTGGCTGCCAGCGGTTTTTAGTGAAAGCATCAATGAAGTTCGGAGGAGAGATCGGCGGTGCGGGCAAAGATGGGTTGGTGTTTGGAAGATCATTGCTTAGCGGTCGGTGGAGGATTCTGCCGGTTGGGTGCGAGTGAGGAGGTACTGCCGGCGGCGGTACGTCGGCGTCGTCTGAATTGACTGCTGAGTCAACTTCGGGAGCAGCGAAATATTCCCTGTTCACAATCAAAATTTAAAGTTAACTTCCAAATCAGTTCATTTTAATATTCATAAAGATTAATTTTGACTTTTGTTTTCCACTGGCGACATAATGTAACGCATCTGGAAAAAATACTGCAAAGATATTAACTAATAAGCGATTCTGTCTAACATTAGTAAATTTAATAGTAGTAGTAGTAGTATTTATCAACTAAAACTATAACATAATATAATAAACGATTTTGTATTGAAGGATTACCTAATTCCGAAATTCTCGTCAGTGGAATGCTTCCTGCGAATAGAATTTCTAATTAGTTATATTAGCTATATTGATTTTATTATCTATTTATTATTAATATTGCTTTATGATTTAAATGTAAAAGTCAATGGTTTCTTTTCTTCAGAACATCTCCGCCCGTGAACGCGATCTTTATGTACTGCAGAGAAACAACTAAACAATAAAACATCAAACAATCATGCGCTGGACATCTGGGAGAAACTAGACATGACAATCTGTCTAATACCTCACGACCTCACGTTGCCTAAAACATTCACTGGCCTAGTGCCTCTATTAGACACATTAACACTCACAATTATACGTATTATCTAAACACCTAAAACATTCACTTCTAACACAAATTCATTTTCATCGCAAACATTTACAAGCCTCCCTTCTCTCAGCATTGAAGCACAACAATAGTTAACAATATTTAATCTACTCCACAAACGAGCTCTATGGCTTGAATTCTACGAGACCTGTACATTTCCTGGCTCGGTAATAATAACCTAGCCCGACCGGATCGACTATATCTTCCTCCAGAGAACCTAAAGGAAGGTAGCAAACCTAACCGTGCCAACGAACCAATGTGTCGCTTTTCGAAATTATCTCGTAGAACTTCACCTGCAACATACGCAATTCATTTAAATTGTAAAGTCTGGTGAAGTTTCTTTTGACCGGTTAATGAAACGAAATTAGCAATTCTAGAAGCTGTTCAGTATACTTACCGACAGAACGCTTGTCCTCGTTCTCATTATCGTTTTTGTCATCGATGTTATTTGTCTCAATATAGTCTGGTAATGAGAGTATGTATCTCTTGGTGCGAATGGTTGGATCCCTGTACAACGGTCTATAAAGACCATGAGCCGGCAAGCCTACATAGCCCTTCTTCAAATACGCGTTGTCTTCAAAGTCTTTGAGAACAGCGTAGTCGTTTTCGGGACCCAAAGCGCTACGCTTGGCAACTTGCGAAAGGGGCGGAAACATATCCGGATTAATAGTTTGCTGGAAATCATACATTTCGTTGATATCAAAAGGCCCATCGATTTCCGATAAAGGGGGAATCGGATTCTGATAAAATGGAAAGTAATATTCGTCGCCATTAATTTCGTCTTTTTTATGCAAAAGCCCGTTACGTGCGAGAGCTGCTATATTGCGTTTATTGTTTTGAGTATTGTACTGTCCCCTTCCCATACGGTATCCATCCCGGGCCAGAGCTTGAATGTTTCTCTTCATAGCCGAATAGCTGCGAAGTCTAGCAATTGAAGCCAAATTTCTTTTCTCTTGAGATTCGTCTTCGTGTTCCTGTTTGTCTGTACCCACATAAGGAGATCGATACGTTGGAAGCATTCCGTTCTTGGCCAATATTGAGATGCTCCGCTTGTAGCTATTAGCGCCGGAATTCCTCAAATATCCATTTTTTGCGAGAGTAGCAATATTTCTTCTAGGAAAAGTGGGCCATTGATTTTCTGGTTCAGTAGGTAGACTCAATACCTTAAAAAATAGCAGGAATGTAAGAATGTTTAAAAAAAATTCAAAGATAAAATAGCGGGCTAGGCTCCAGTCATTAACTAGTTATCAGCATTATAAGCTTCCGATATAACTAAATCAAATACATTATTTAAAGCGGAAATTTGTATTTAAAAAATTTTTGTCGACCGAACCCAGCCCACTGTTTTTTCAAACAGCTTACCTGCTCAACGTAAGCTGAAAATATTACTGCGAAGAGAACGATGAGAAGAAAACATCCTCGACGCTTTCCCGTCGGCGACCGACCCCTCATCTGATTAAAGCAATTAAATTTAAATAAATATATGAGTTAAAATAAAAAAGTTAGTCCTTTATATTGCATAGATGGGTGAACTGGTGTTAAGTAGCTACCGAAGCCCATAGACATCTATAACGTATATGGTCTCAATATAGTTACAACGGCTGTCCCACCCTTCAAACCGAAATGCATAACTGCTTCACGGCTTCACGGAAATAGGCGGCGTGACGATACCTACCCGTTCGGACTCACAAGAGGTCCTACCTATCACCAGAAAAAGTCTTCCGTGAACCACGAAAAGAGTAACATATTCAAAATATCGGAAATATTAAAATAAAAATAATAAACGAGAGATTAAATAGGAAAACCACGTCTCGCAAAAGCCAATTAAAATATAACACGAAATACATTTCAATTCTGTTGTCGTTTGCTTTGAAAGAAAATGAAATTGACGAGTTAAGCTCGCCATTGTATATTTTCATCAACAGAACCTCTGCTATCTTATCTCTGATTTAATGGCTGTTATACAGATGAATTCACAACCCGTTTGATTTGCGGAGCATACAGACATTATAAAAAGAATCCCACAACCTACCTAGGGAGTTAGGTCGAGTTCCTAATTGTATAAAAAAAATATATGCTCTAACACAAGCAACCCAATTGCAAGACTAACGTATTTTTTTTTTTATTCGAATTACCTACCTACACGAAGAGAACATAATAACTCTTCTTAAATTGAACTTAAATGACATGTTTAAGTATTCGATTTTATAATATTCATAACTGAGTATTTATTCGTTCGTCTATTGTACTATTGTGCATCAATTATCCGATTATACTTTAAAGTTGTTGTTGGCACTCGCTTGAAAGATTCTCATATACAACAATCTATTTAAATAAGTAGCGCCGATTTCAATGCATTACTATGTGCTGTATACTTTAGCAATGAACAATTATTTTTTTTATTTGCTTAGGTTTGTGCACGACCTCACAGCCCACCTGGTGTTAAATGGTTACTGGAGCCCATAGACATCTACAACGTAAATGCGCCACACACCTTGAGATATAAGTTCTAAGGTATCAGTATAGTTACAACGGCTGCTCCACCCTTGAAACCGAAACGCATTACTGCTTCACGGCAGAAAATAGGCGGGGCGGTGGTACCTACCCATGCGGACTCACAAGAGGTCCTACCACCAGTCAACAATTGCGACAGGACTGTCTTGTTTCGTATGAAATTCTGTCCATTCTGTCGTGCATCATAAACAAACTCCGAAATAAATTGAACACGAGACAAACCCAATTGAGATCGAGAGCACAAACTAATCTAATAACCAACATACACTCTCCAAGTGAACGAACCTTGAATAACAAAAAGACCATACTGGCTCAGATTTAATGGTCTGTCGCTGAAGCGGATATCAAGTTGGCAGATTCAATTATGCGAAGCGTGCGTTTCCGAGACACACCTGAGGCTCGGCTTTTGTAAATTGTAGGGCTTGCCTACATTTCACTTAGGTACAGTGATAATAATAATCATATAAGTCACAATGAATGTGTAGCAGCATAATTCGTTTTTATTTCTATCATTGCTGAAAGGGAATTGAATAAAATATGATAAAATGGTAGGTTTCTTTCTTTAGTAAAAAAATTGCCTTAAATTGAAATAGCTAGAATTTTATGACATTGAAAAATCTACTTCTAAGATGTTATCATTAAATCGGATATTGTATGAATCTAAAGAATTCAAAGATTTCATTTTTTCAATATATTATATACAATATATATACTAAATAGCGCAAAGACTTTTTTTCTAAACTCAAATGTTCTTTAATTTCTTATCAAACTGAAAGGTTGCTTGTAACAAAGACAACAAACACAATACAAAATCCAATATCAAATGCTATAACTATGAATAAAATCTTTTCGAGAAAAGGGAACGTTTCTTCAAAGAAGTGACAGACGAATAGTTATGAAAAGACTTTGTACGAAAGCAAGACGACATGAAAGGAAATGAGACTTCACAGCGAAACATGTACTTGACCATGGCATTGAAATGCTAAAATCTTAGAAGAAAATTTGAATAACATGTTCAACAAAATCTATAATGGAATTCAATCAAACATTTTGAAAAGTTAATTTGTTATTATATGTATATATTTTAATAAAATACAATTATAATGCTTACTTAGAACATAGACTTGTAAATCTGAAGAGCCAAATTAAGAAATTTAATTAAATTGAATATACAATTTCAATGAACACGCTAAACAAAGTGAACGGAGCTATATGTATTTAAAGTTAGAGCGCCTACATAAGTACTTGTCTGAAGTTCTGTAAACATTGTCTGCACGCTCACAGTCCGATTATTCTCGGGAAAATTCAATTTAACTTCAGCTTGGTGCATGTAAACTAAGCTTTTATGCACCTGTTTCATGAGAGAGTTGTTTTCTTAAAGACCTAATTAGGATCTTGTATTTGTTTGTCAAGTCGAATGAATATAATTTTTCTCCTACCTCATTCTGAAATTCCACATTTATGTAACTTAACACTACTACTTCCGCTTATATACTCATTACTATATTTTTTTCATTATAGAACTCACTGTATTAGCTTTTCTCCGCGACTTCGTCCGCGTGGAATAGTTCACAAATATCAAATGCTTAATTTAAAACAAATTTGGTTAGCATAAAAAACGTTATAGTGAGTCAACCTTAACATATAGATATATGCTGTTGCGGACTTTTTTTAGATCTTTTAAAGGGGAGCAATTCTGTCATATATTATTTTAGCGAAACTTTAACCGTTTCTGCAGCGCACGCAGCGGAAGCTCTCAAAAGGGAAAAAAACCCGAATTTGAAACATTATTTATTGGTGCCCCGCTTGTATTGGTCTGAGCGTAATGTTATATATTCTATAGCCTTCCTCAATAAATGGGCTATCTAACACTGAAAGAATTTTTCAAATCGGCCCAGTAGTTCCTGAGATTAGCGCGTTCAAACAAACAAACAAACCCTTCAGCTTTATAATATTAGTATAGATTACACCGAAATTATGTTTTCATTTATTGTCATATTATGTTTTAAAGCGACCCCGAGTAATGAATGAACGTCTTCATTGTAATATCAATAACTGCTATTCTACTCTTCAATCTGAAACACTACGTCCTTCCTCCAATTATTACGCAGATATATCATTCTTTTCCACAATATTATTCCGTTATTGTGGATGCTGTTCCTGAACACATCTTAGGCTAGGTATTTCATGAACTTTGGTACCATTTTTTAACGCTTGGGAATCCGTTTACGGATACCCGGTCTAGCGAGGTAAAAGGACGGGCTATGTCGGACTCCGGTGCCTCTAGAGAAGAAGAGGGAGAAGAGGAAATCGTGGTCCTCCTCTTCTTCTAATTCCTCCTCGGAGACTACGACTTGAAAAAGGCAGGCGAGGCGCAATTGGTACAACAACAATTAGTACCTAGCCGCACAAATTAGAACCTAGGTATAGTCCCATCGATATGCACGAATATACTCCACTTCTAATCGCCTAGACCACGTACGGTTGCAACTAAATTTACAATATGGTCGTGACGTTGCATAATGTCCTTGTTGTATTGCCATTAAATTATTCAAGTCAGGTACTCTTGTTTAATCTAACGCTCTGAATTAATCCAATAGTAATTCATTCAATTAATTACAAATCCGCACCTGTTGACTTACTTTAAATCCAGACGTACAACTGAACCGTTTTAATAAATGGACTTTATAGACGTACCCGACGTAATTTAATAGTCAATTTTCGAAACTACAGAACCTCTGCTAAATCTCATATATTCTTGATAGATGTATGCTTGTATTTAGTACGATTTCATTTGTTTTTCATCTAAACTAAACTATCAGAATAAATATCCATCATTTTGTAAATTTCCGGTAAATCAAATTATATAAACGATTTTTTTTCGTTTATTGTATGTAACTTGCTATAAGATAATAGATAAAAAAAAAATACTAGTTAGGAAGGCTGGGGTTAATATGCGCTGTAGAGGATGTGAGAATAAACGTTTAATAACTTGTAGAAAATTTTCATTCTACAAAATGACATATCCTTTTTATCAGTTCGGTTAAATAGTACTTTGTTTTTCTAAAAAGGCAATAATGGACGAATTTAATTTCTTACAAAATAAATTTAAGTTTAAGTTTATAAGTTTAAAACTAAGAATCAAATAACTAAAACGTTTGCAACTCTGTACTTGAAAATTTTTTTATTGCTTAGGTGGGTGGACGAGCTCACAGTCCACCTGGTGTTAAGTGGTTTCTGGAACCCATAGACATCCACAACGTAAATGCGCCACCCATCTTGAGATACAAGTTCTAAGCTCTCAAGTATAGTTACAACGGCTGCCCCACCCTTCAAACCGAAACGCATTACTGCTTCACGGTAGAAATAGGCAGGGTGGTGGTACCCACCCGCCCGGACTCACAAGAGGTCCTATGAAATGAATTAAATAACTTCTATCGCAAGTATTTCTATGTGCTTTTGCAGCGTAAAATGTTCGCGTAATATGTTTCGACATTGTAATCGAAAAATATTCGACTTTCGTTATTACGTTATTATATTTCGTTAATTCGATTACCGAAATTCATGATACACGATGAAATGAATGAATTTGCGTAATTGGTAATGACATGTTTTGCGCTTTCCCGTACCAAACCATCACTAAAGCCAGATAAAGCAAGCGTTGTACCTACGCTAATTGATAAGCTTCTGTATTGCTTTGAGGATTAACTTGGCCAAATTGCTTATTAAAACGTTGCACAATATTACAACAGAATTCTTACCAGTAACAATGTTTGCACAACTTCCCTTTGCATATCGCTTAAAAAGTTACTTTGTTTTTACCACTTTGTTTTTCATTTTGAACTTATTAATTAATTAATAACCACTTCATTAGTCCATCTCTTACAAACCGCTGCTCCTAAGCTATCTTTTAAAATAGAATATTTTGCTATTGAATTTTTACTTCATTTATCGCCCTTCAATAAGAACAGTACGTGAATAGCATGATATTTTTCTTTCAAACGTTTGTGTATAACAAGCCGTCCTTAAAAAAAAAACAAATATTCAACTAATATTCGTTCTAAAAATTCATAATAATTTCTAAAAATTCCTATTCCTTCTATATTCTTCTTTTATTCTATTTTTAAATGCATTTGGCTCCACGTCTCACAGCAATTTGATTCTCTATTTAAATGTGAATGATAAATTGCCAATTTAAATTGGGCAACATATTCAGCCAGAATGTGTTTCAATTATATATGGTCTGTATGTTTCGGCTAAATATGTGTACTATATCGTAAAGGGTATTTAGAGGAAAAACTCACGACAACTTTTTTTAACTTAAACTTTCAATACATCATTCGTCCCATTTCAATTTCAAGACATTCGGTCTTTTAAACAGGAGTAACAGTTTGATATTAGCACCTTTGCTAACCTGTTCAGTTTTAAATATGTAGTTTGGTGCTAATATCACTTTGTATTATTGTGAGATTTTTTTAACAAGACGCCTATTGTTAGGCAATCTAAAAACATTTATTTATTCCAACTGTAGAAACTCAAATTCAAATCTATTTGTTTTTACTGTATTATTCTGTAATGAATGATCAAATACTTTTACTTTACTTTCCATAAAAGTATTTTTTTTTCTCAAAATTAGAATTTTTCTTATGTTAAATACAGAAGAAACAATAAATTTTCATGTTAATAAAAAATCATATAACTTTAAAACGTGGGTATAGTTTAAAAGTACTTTTTTTTAACCAAAATCATTTCTCAAAATACATTTATTACATTTTATTTTACAATATATACTTACGTTTATGCCCAGCATTAACCAGATTGCACTGCAACTTGAAATACTTTTAAAACACTCTATTTCTTATTCGTTTACTGTTCTTGGCGGGAATGATTTTCAGTTTGGGACGTGAGCCTTTTATATGGGATAAACTAGAAGCACGCATGCGCATGAACTCCATACGAACTTAAAGCACTGAACACTGTTCCTATGCACTTTAATTAGCAAGTTGAAGTTCATGGGCATCATTTAATCTCTAGATAAACGCAAGAAAAGGGGTTGAGCGGGATTTTAAAATTAATTTATAATGGTATAAGAGACGATCACAGATCAAATAGTTCTTGAATAAATGCATTCTTATACTCGTTTATTAATATCCCAGTGTTGTTAGAATGAACCATAACAATAGTCACGTGCATAAAATAAAACAAAGAATGTCTCAAAATATATAATTGTTGAGCGTTAATGCTTTTATTTGACAAATAATTGAAATAAGTATATCTTTCAGTAAATTTATGGACACTTGATCTATTATACGTTATTTTCCTAAACGTTATTTCCCTTTCCTTCATTTACATAGCTTATTAGAAACTGCTAGTCGCACAGATGCTGACCTTCTGCAGATCCTACGGCAGGAAGGCGACGCTGAACTTCAGATTGGTGAGTGCAATTAGGGCTATTTTTGATAAATAAGCTTCCGCTTCCTTAAATAGGTAAAAAGCCCAATAACGACATGGACTATATTTACATTTTATATGCCTTTTACCATCCTAACAATTAACTTCATATGTATTGCATACAATTAAATAAGTAAGGCGTAATTTTAATTAAGTTTACAAGCGTTCGTGAAAACTGTTGCATAAATAAATTAATTAAAAATGCTGAACAAGTTAAAAAGTAGTTTACAATTGGCTTTCGACTCATTTAAATACTTTTTTTTAAGATAAACTACATAAAAAAAAATTAGATGGAAGACATTCTCGTACTCGATTATTATTAATTTATTATTTTTAACATTTGATCATGTTTAATTTTGTACTGAAATCGTATCCGGCGTGCGTACGGGTATTATTAATCTATAGGGATTTACGTTGTAAATGAAGCTGAAATCTTATCTACGTATAGCCAATTTTCCAGCTATTCGTTAGACTCAACTAGCCCCGTGGGTTTCTGTGTTCATATAAATCACTACTGATTGGCAGCGCTGAGACTTTTCGGTTCATATTACAGTATTAATTTTCAAATCAAGTTGGTTTTAGGTTACTAGAATTGACTAGACGCTTGGGCGAGAATACAAGCGAGTTGTTTAGTGGGTAGGGCCCTAAATATTACTCTTGAGCTCCACTCCCAACATCTGCGGATCGTCACACATACCCAGCGCGCCTCCTAAGCTCGCGGACCTATGAGCCCATAAAAAAAAAGATTGGCATTCGTGTACGTCCTGGTTAATAGCTAGACAAACTGTTGTCACCTTAGATTCTCCAAAGATAACGAATAAGAAAGCTTAAAATACTGTTCTATGGTTTTATTATTTTCGTCGGCCACGTTAACCTACTCTTCATCCATATGAACTCATTAAATAAAATTAGTGGTCCCGCAGTAGTCGAAATTCAACTATAATTAATTGAAATTATAATTTTGAACAATAATGTGGTCCTATTGTCAAAGATTATTATTATACTTCTATAATCACAGATTTCGCCAAAACTACACTATAGACAAATAATATTAAAGACAAACAATATTAATCTATTCTCAATTTGATCACAGACTTTAAACAATAAACAAAAGAGTATATATGAGTGTATGTCAAATACATAGTAGTGTGTAATGTTTATTTTATTGATTTAATGTACTTTTTATGCATATTTAAAAAAATTTAGCACTGTGCACTCCTTCTCGATATTCTCTACAGTGTGGAAAATTTCATACTCCTCCGTCCGCGCAATTTTCGTAAAAAGGACTACAAAATTTTTGCTTCACGTATTAATATATAGATATCTAGTTTAGGCACCTAGCAGGCAACAAATAGAATATATAACAAGCACAAAATCCATCAATGCTAATGAAAAAAAAAAGAAAAACAACAAAAGTACTTTAACAATCAAATATAGATGCACAATAATTGATTTTCTCTTTAAGCTAGCTCTCCACGTGTATCTACAGACTATACTCGTAACGACCTCCAACCTCCGCACCGAGTTCTACCTTGAAACTCCACGTTTATAACAAGGACGAGTTTTATAAGCTTTTCCAAGAATAAATGCCTCCCCGCAATCCCGGTGCACGTAAACAGTTCGAATAATAAAATAACAAGTATTTTCTTGGTTGCATGTACCGCTTTATATTGCGTTAGAATAAAGTAGAGAAAAATACGTAATAAATTTGACATCGGTTTTCGTAAACATAATTAAAACTTATTTTACGGTTTAATCTCGCGTTTCTTATTGTCATTATGTTGTTTGCTACTTATCGAATAGTTTACTGTGTGCTTAGTGCGAGTTTTTTAATGTTCTCGATAGCGTAGGTAAGAGTTTACTCAAATTTGTATGGAGGTAAAACGATTGTCTACGTTTATCGCTAGGGGCGCTGTTCCTACTACATACAATTTTGAGATAACTTTTACGCTATCGAGAACGTTAAAAAACTCGCACTAAGCACACTTGTGATAGGAACTCTTGTGAGTCCGCGCGGGTAGGTACCACCACCCTGCCTATTTCTGTCGTGAAGCAGTAATGCGTTTCGGTTTGAAGGGTGGGGCAGCTGTTGTAACTATACTGAGACCTTGGAACTTATATCTCAAGGTGGTTGGCGCATTTACGTTGAAGATGTCTATGGGCTCCAGTAAGCACTTAACATCAAGTGGGCTGTGAGCTCGTCCACCCATCTAAGCAAAAAAAAGCACTGTTTTCGTGGACAAAGACAATGATATACTAACACGCTGCTAACATGCTGAAAGCGCTATTTCAAAGTGTATCTTCTGAAAACAATTAATGTTTGAAAATATTAATTTTAACCATTCCTTCTTTTCATTTGTGTATTGTATTTTTTTTATTTCATATATGTGTGGACTTTCTCACAGCCCACCTGGTGTTCAGTGGTTATCAGAGACCATAGACATCTAAAATGAAAATGCCACCACCCACCTTGAGTTCTGAAGTGTCAGCATAGTTACAACGGCCACCCCGCCCTTCAAACCGAAACGCATTACTGCTTCACGGCAAAAACAGTGTTGCCACCTTAGATATTTTTAAGGCGCTAGGTCAAGAGAAAAATGTCGCCAGATTTCGGAAATTTGCTAATAAGAAAACCAACTAAATTTTTCCGCTAAATTTTTTAACTTGAATCAAACTAAAGAAACCCTAATTATGTTTAACGCCAGTTTCAGCAGTTCCGTAATAAGAGATATCTACTATTGGTTAAATGACAGTTTTGAATGAACGATTCGTTAGTTATAGACTACGGGAACTCATCTGGAAACTATAAAACTGGCTCCAGTATTCTATAGGCAGTAAAATAAAACCACATTAATATGTTTATTTTTTAATCAGAAGAGTAAGAACAAGAATTAGATGAGTAAAAATCAAGAAAAAAAATGTGTAAATTAAAATTGTAGACTATCAAATGAAAAATCTACAACTTCGTGATAATTCTTACTCGTAGATGCTACCGTCGACAATGTCGACGCTTAAGGTGTTGTAAAGTGGCTGGGATCGTGTGGTTTTGTAAGAGCATTTTGTGTTTTGACCAACAGCTGCTATGACATCGCTTTCATCCGTGGATATCGCACCGTCTCCTTCGAGGCGGCGTGTGTGTTGGCGGGGACGCTGCCATGGGAGCTGGAGGCGGAGTCGCTGGCTGCCGATTATCGGTGGCGCAGCGAGCTTCGTGCTCTGGGCGTGGCGCGTCTCTCCAAAAGTGAGCTGCGGGCGCGGAAGGCCCATTCTCGGCGGTCCGTACTCGAGTCGTGGTCGAGGCGGTTAGCCAACCCCACGTGGGGCTTACGGAATGTCGAGGCGGTTTACCCGGTCTTTGATGACTGGGTGAATCGTGGCACAGGACGCCTCACCTTTCGTCTGGTGCAGGTGCTGACCGGGCATGGATGCTTCGGGAAGAACCTGCACCGGATAGGAGCTGATCCGATGACGAAGTGGCACCATTGTGGACACGACCTGGACACGGCGAAGCATACGCTCGCTGTCTGCCCCGCTCGGGAGGTGCAGCGGCGTCTCCTGGTCGCAAAGATAGGACCGGACTTGTCGCTGCTTGGCGTCGTGGCGTCGACGCCACGCTTTTTTACAATAAAAATTTTTTTTTCACTCTTTTTAATTCAAATTTATTAAATTTTATTTTCTATTTTATAGTTGGATTATCTATAAAAGCGAATTTTGTTAGTTTTTTTAAACTATTATTTATTTTTAATTTTTTAGTTAAATTTAATTTTTTTCAAATTTTTTTTTTTTTAATATTGAATTGTCGTCGATCTTGAATAAGTATACCAAATTTCAAGTTAATCCGACGATTTGAAAGGGGTCAAAATCATGTTCAAAGATTCCGTTACAAACATACATACATACGTCTGAAGCTAATAAAAGCGTATTCAAAACTATTTTAGTTGTCTGACACTTACCTTTCATTTCCCACAGAAAGAAATAATACTATCTTGAAGTCTGGCAGTTGGTTTGAGTTTATATTTTCGCATTATAAGGATCTCAGGTGCGCGTACAAAGTCTATAATAAGCGCCACATTGTAGACCCACACAAGGTGTCATGGTGTATTCCCAGGAGATCCCAGTGAAAGCATTCTCCTATTGTATTGGTAATTTCCCACGTGCAACCTCTGGATATCACGTCTTTTCATCTCCACCAATATTTGTATTTATAAATGCATATGTCACAGAACTATTACTTAATTTGTATGACTTCTTTAAATTTAATATTATTAGGTACTAGCTGTACCCGTTCGCTTCGCAGGGCATTTAAAATTAACATTATTATTTCTCACCCCCCCAAAAATTCTCATCATTAACGCCCCCGCAACAGTAACTGGTGTAGGGAGTCCAACACTCATATAAATATTAGCCTATCCATTACGTACCTGGGTCATACACAAATAGAGAAAAAAAAAGTGCAGCAAAAAAATATCTCAGAATCAGTGTGAAACAAACTATTTATTATTTAACTATTGATTATCAATCTTTTAATCACTGTAACCGAGATCAATGTGTCTTATTTTTGGCATAATCGCAATTTTTATATTTTTGCGGACCACAGAAGAGACAATTTAGTCTACAAGTGATGAAAAGCTGTGATGCAGCGTAAGCTAAAATATATTAAGACAACATAATCAAACACATGTAGCCACTGATATAAACGAATACCGAAACGCAAATAAAATGTCAAAATAATCACATTAATTGGAATATAAAAAATAAAATAATAATGTCTACAGAAAGGAAAATCCCTTCGGTGGACTTATGAAACAAAACAAAATTTCGAATGATAATAATTTTACAGCCATGGTATATTACTCGTATTGAACCCCCTGAACGAAATCAATAAAAATAAAAAAAATGTTTTCGNGTCTGTTAAAGATCTTGTTGAGAGCTAACGTTATGGTTTGTAATGAAAGGAATCCCAATCCTCAATCGTGAATGTATCAGGATTGGCCGAGACGAAACCTGTTTGATATTGCAAAAGGTTGTTTTTCTTGCAGGAGCGTCACACAGGGACGTGTGACATGTCAGAATGGCCGTGTCGTGGATAACGACTTTTAGTTGTCGTGGATAACGACTTTTAGTAAAAGACGGTGGTTTTGATTATTATTTTAAATGATGAGATGTTGTTTTGATAAATATCACAAAATGAAGGGTAGACTACGTAACGCCACAGTATAAAATGGCGGTACGTGGACAGAGTCGAAGCATTCCGTGTCAGACAGTCATTCCGTCCGTCTCAGTCAGTCGGTCTGTCGGTATGTGCAACGAAACTGTCGGTTTATCCTGTCATTGTGAAAGTTGTGTGTGTTGAGTTTCAATAATTATTATTGAAAAGTTTTATTGACTTTTTAAAAACTGTGTTCAACCAAATACGAGTGATGACGGAAACTACCGCTCAGCCATACCTGGCGTGCTCCGACATATATATATTTATATTTATAGCAAAAACACAAATCATCAGAAAATATTGTATAATGAAACAAGAAATGTACAAAAAAAAGATTTATTAATATATCAGATCCTTACAAAATTATCTACTAATGGACGGAACTTTCCATTACAAAATCGTTTATATTTTAATGTTTTATTTTAGTCAAACCACCTTGTTGTCTGCTACATACAAAACCATTTACAATGTTCCCAAACAGTAGCATTTTTTCAAAATTAAATCATAAATTATAGTATCAAGAATTGTGTAATTAAGGTATTTAGTCTCACTTTACTGGTTCTTGATTTAAGATGTTCTCTAGATTTACCACTCAATGCAAATGCAAAGATACTGCAATATTCCAAAATATACATATAATGGAGCGTATTTTCTCTATTTCTATCGGTAATGTAACTTCATTGTATTGGTTTTAATTTTATACTGATGTTTCAAACTCAGTTTTAAGATTATTTAACTTAATATCGATAAAATCCAAATCATTAATGCGTTCTAATGTCGTGACGTTAGATGGTTGTGAAATATTCGATGAACAAGACACTGCAGTTTCATCACAACATTGAAAAGCTCTGGAGCTTGTGGATATGTTCCAGACATATTTAGATATTGTATTCTGATTGCTTTTGTTGGAACAGTTCGCCTTATTTGTTCTCGATTCAGTTGATGGAAACCCAGCCTTCGTATTAGATACAATACTTGTCATATCATTCATTTCATTAAGGACATCTGAAACATATTGACATTGAATAGAGTGAAAATTTATGGCAATCTATAATTAAAATATGATTTAAAAAAAGTTTATTGTAGTTTCAATCATCACACAGACAAACACCGCTGGCCATAGGCCTACCCCTAGCATCACCATAATCACTGGAGCTGTACTATCATTGAAAACACTGTCTCTTATGTACTAAAATATCAACTTTAATCGTTTTGTTAATTCAGGATATTAACAATAAACAAATTCTTATCATTAAACAAAAATTTACATTTAATGTAACTCACCAGTCAATTGTAAGGTAAAGTTTTCTTCGGTAACATCAATGTCTTTATCTGTTATGGAACGGGCATCATCAAGTTTTCTTTCTAAAATCTTCTCTTGAGATTTGCAATGTCTATTCAAGACAGCTTTTCTCAATGACGACCTATTTTTAATAGGCGAAAAATTGTACAAAACTGATCTTTCTCGTACTCTTTGCAGATTCTTATTCAAGTTGAAAGTTTCGTCGCGACCAGCTTTGGGCTTAGAACCATTTAACAAATTGTCCAATTCAACGGAAAAACTCAATTCTTCACATTGTCTTAGTTTCAGATGCTTTGTTAATTTAATTAGGGGGAAGTTTTGTGTCGACGATCTTACATTACTGGTCCTGGCAAATACACTTTTAGACATAATGTCATCGGTCTTTTTTGGACTATCGACGTCTGAATTTTTATTTTTATAAACTGTATGTGTTTCATTTTTACACACATGAACGTCATCATCTTCGAACAACTGTTCCTCGTTTTGCTTCGGATGTAAAATCATATTTATTTTGTTTATTACGGTGTACAATAGTTTGAGTCTCTTCAATAACTGTTCATTCGACGCCTGTTTGTTAGTATGGGTTTTTATATCGTACATAAAATCATTTTCGGAGGCAAGTAAATTTGATACTGTCTTGCATTCGTTTACCGCTGAAATGATAAATTAAATTACTATGACGTGTTGAATAGTATTATTCAGTGGATGCACTGTATAGGGAGCAGTCGCACATCGCCTTCGTTCTCAACCGAGGGATTTATAACAGAGTGCCAACCCGCATTCACGCGTGTTAATGTAAGAGAGTTCCGGTGCTGACCATTAGCTCAAACAGTATCCGTTCGCGAAAGTTAAGGTTCTCGATTTCAGCATTCACGCTAGGCGCTAACCACTTACCACATTGAATGCCTGTCTTGATAAATAAGTAAAATGATTAAATATATATATAAATATTTTTTATACAGGGTGTCTCATTAAGAGTATATCAAGCCGAAAACTGTAGATAATTATCTATAAGAATATTCGATCTGGCAAAAAAAAAATTCCCAAGTGAACAGTTTTGGAATAATTCTTCTGGCAATGAGGTTTTTTTGGAGCGTCTGCCGTCTCGTTACAAGGCAAGTCAGGCCGCCCAATGGGTGCGGCTGGTGCCCCGAGATACCCCGCTGGGTCGGAAGCAGCCTGTCAGGTCGAGACGCGATATACCTCCAGCCAGTCGCTCTTATGTGACTCCTGAGCGGCGCGCTAGTGCTGGTGGCATACCATGCATCCTCGACTTCCTCAGATCGCCCTGTGACCTTCATTGGGAAGAAGCCGCATCCTACAGGGGCCGGGACGTACGCTCGTACCATCCCCTGCGGCCCCCGGCTCGACGGTGAATCATCAGTGAAGAGCTGTCCCTCTCTTGTTCCGCCGCCTCGTGCGAGACTTGTAGCCCAAGAGCCCGCGACAGCCAGACCTTCGTTATTTTATAAAAGCTGAAAGTTTCTCTGTGTATGTCTCCAACACAGGTAAGAACGACCCGCGATTATAGAGTTTCGATTGTGGTTACTTGGGCAGGTAACAGGCAGTAAAGGTATATAAAATAGTACCTTAAATTCGTTAAAGTATAAAGGTTTATTTTTTTAATATTTACTCCAGAATATCTTTAGAAATCACGATATCCGTTGCCGGACACTTTATCCAGTTGTTACCCCCTGCCAGACACCCCTAAACTTTAATAAATTTTAATTATACTTTCGTTATACTATAAAAGCTAAATTTTATATATGTTACTTAGGGACTTATAAAAATATGTTACCCCAATAGCCGGACAGTTTTAATGGTTCTTACATCTTGCCAGACACATTGAGAGCCCGCTGTAGGTGCGAGCGCGAGGTAGCAACTGTTCAAGCGGGTGTGAGCGAGATAGAG